CGAAAGTCGCTATGTTATTTACGCAGCAAGTTGTTCTTCCACGTTTAGGTTATAACGACGATATGATCACACGGCGTTAACGAAGAAACGATAGAACTTCAAGGAAAGTAATGTGTGTGAGAGAGGTTCATGATCCGGTTCGCAATGACCATGCAGATAGCAAGTTTTGCTGAAATCAGTCAGAGGTTGCTCATCCGTTGTTATCAGAAAATACTGGTAAAATTTTCTACTCGTCCCGACCCCCTTAAATGAGTACTTTTGCTTGAAGACATAGCTACGACGGAGTCTCTTGAACAGTCCCAAGCCGCGTGTCGCTCGATAGACCACAGGATATGATTGGCCACTGTATCACATTGCGTCAGAGGACACATCTACAATAAGGGGACATAAGTGCAACGGTACAAACGGTAGATTAAGCACCCGATGATTCGCTTATAATTAACCGCTTACGTGCGGGTTTAATTAGCATCAAATGAACGCATATAAACGGTCAAAGTAGGGCCTATTTACTTATTGTGAGCCTGAGACGTATGGGATTAAATAAGCGCCCTGTGCGGCACCCTTCGCTGACCCCTTTGCTTATTTGCTTTATCGTGGTTTTCATTACAGAACGAAACACTTATTCTGGACGACCTTTTCTACCTGTCTAATGTAAACGTAGTACGACACATATATTTCTATGAATCCTCTCTAGGAACGAGGGAAGCATAGAAAAAGACAGAAAAGGACATAAATACTTGCTTATACAGGCTAAATTATCTTGCTTGTAAACGCGGTGTGAAATTAATTTCGTTCCGGAACGAAACTTATTTGGAATTATGTAAAAGTAGAAGTAATGGGTTCCTGGTAAAAGTACCTTAGGGACGGATCATCAGATTTTTGAGGGGAGTAGGGACTGCGCACAAAAAGCTGACCTCCGCGCGCTTATAGCGCAGTATAATTAAGGTAAGAAAAACTTGGGTTAGTATATGAAGAGTAACAAATGGGTCAAAACGATTTCGTTATTTTCAAACACTAGTTATTGTGAGAACCGACGTCATCGCAATTGTAAGTCTGTTTTCCTCTATAAGATGAAAAACTATTGTTAAAGGTGAATCTGGGAGGCTTCAATGTTGTCAAGATAGCATTCTTGATGAGAAATAATTTTGCAATTGTTATTTCTATGCATATTCTCTATACTGTTCTCTACACATTTCCTAAGGTGCTGACAAGGAGAATTTGTTAAACAATTCAGAATTTCTCAAGCTGGGAATCATTTACTTTATTGTGACCTTAATGTTTCATACAGGGATGATATTGTCAGCAGAAACTAAATGTTAGTCACTCTTACGAGTTAAAGGGGTAACGCATGCGACAGCGTTTTGCTGTTGTTACAGAATAAAGGACTCGATTGTTTGTTCATAAAGCCGTTTCAGAGAACATTGAAAATGAAAAATCCCACGCAGTAAATGGTAAGGGGTTCTCGAATATTTTTCCCCACGGTTTGCAAAAATGTTTGAAGGATAATTAACATGGTAGCCTCCTTTTTTCGTGAAAACATGCACTGATATTAGATCGTGGGCATTTTCTGAGAGACGAACAGTTTTCCTAGAGCGAAGCTCGAGGAAAACTGTGAACTTCAAGGCTATTGCTAATTAACTTGCAATTGAAATACACTCTTTTACCGCTAAATAGATAAAGCCAGGTAATATTCCTACCTGTTGCCCAGGGAAAAATAGAATATCCGTTTCATAACGGCCTTTGCCATCAATCTGTTAAAAAGAGCGGATAGATCTGTTAACAGAGTAAGAAAATGTAAAATAAAATAACACACTTCACTTACAAGGAAATGTTTAGCTCTAAGTAGAGAACGTAACACCTTCGTTGTTGCTAATCCGGAAAGGTTTGAAACGTTATGCGATTTTTTTTTTTTTTTTTTTTTTCTGGCTAAATCTAGCTTACAAATATACAGAGGGCTGTATTTGTTTTGCTAACCATGAATCCCTGCGCGAGGTTTGGACTGGACCGTCTGTCTTTTGTTTTTGTTGTGATTTCGTTTCTTGTTGGTAGGAATCAATAATGCTAAAGAGAAGACTTCGCACATTTATTGATATAACGGTGTTGATCACGTGTAATGGAGTGAAACGGTAAGGCAGTATTCTTTTCTTTTTAATTTTTGTCAGCCACAAAAGAAATGGCTTCGACAAAACCTCCTCCGGTCACGAATATCAGCTGATATTTGCTACACTGTTCAATTTCCAAACGCAAACCCTTGAGTATAGCTGCCGTTAATCTATTTGACAATTTTTCTTCTTCTTCCATTTGGTCGTAAACGATTCTTTAAATCTATGGTTCTGTCACGAGCTTGTTTTCTTATTTTTAGTGCCCAGCAAGCCTCCTCAAAGGGTGGCTGCTGAAAGACTAAAAGCTGCAGAATTCATTCAGGTCACCTGGATTCCTGTGCCTTTCGGTTATGTCGGAAACAGTTGAAAAGGAAGTTCTTCCAACGGAGGAGAAAACAGCCATAGCAAGATCAACGGATCTCTTCCTATTTCTGAAAGTTCAAACCTCATAAATTTACGAAATTAAAGTGGCGGCGTTCACTCAAAAGGGAATGGACCTGTATAACGATTATGTTAATGGTGGTAAGTTGGATGCGGGAGTGAAATACCAGGAGAGGAGAAGTAGGATAACAGCCTCATTATGAGTTGTTTTAAGAACTATATTTGAAATTTATGGCCAATTAACTGCCGATTAGGATTCATAAGCATACTACAGAGCCTTACTGGGGATAAGGTAAATTATATCGTGACACAAACAAAATCCTCTAACCCCCGCCCCTACGAGTAATGAGTAATGCAGACCGCTTCCCTATATGGTGTGATGATTTTGGTTCTCTCGTTGACGGAGAGGTGAGGGAGAGGGTAGGATATTAGCTTATTAGAGGGTGGTGATTTTCGTCCTTCAGACAAAAAAAAATTGAAAATTTTTCCTATTTTTTTCCGTCTTTCCTTCTCTTTTAAAACCTGTCTGTCCGAAAATCCTTTACATTAACTACTGGTCAACTTCTCCATATCTAAGAGTGAAAGGTGAGTTATTTCGAAGACTATTACAACACGTTTCTAACTATTTTTGTGCTTTGGATGGAATCTCACCAGCAAAGCTTTCTGCCACAAAAGGTTGGTAAGTTCATATCATCAATGGATTTGCATGTTAATGACAAACTATGCACTGATTAATCCAATGGGTAATTATTCATTGACTAATAGACTTAATGGTCGATTTAGAATCGACTGACTAATTGACGGGCCAGCTGACTGATTGACGGTTTAATTGATCGATCGATAAATAGTATTAGTAAATGACTGATTGGTTGTCTCATTGCTTGGTCTTGACCACTCACAAAAGTGTCCTTAACCTGTTCTTTGATTTTAAATTTTGCAGCGAAATGACTATAATTATATTGCTTACAACGTTTGAGTTTTCAGTTTGCTTGGCATATGTGTGGATACATATTCATGTCATTTCAGGTTGGAGGTATTCAAAACTCTACAGAGCAACGCGTCGGCGAATTGGAAAACGCAAGAGTAAACGAAAGTAATATTGAAGTTTCCCTTTTTTCTTTGATAACTTCTTGTTTTTTCTTTAACCAAAAGGAAACAATTAATCTGCATGTAGTCTGCGTGTTTTTCTAGACACATAAACATGGAAAAGAAAATTTTTTTTTTTTTTGCCAGACAGGTTCCCTCGTCCAAAATTGGACATGCCCGTTTTTTAATAAGTAAGGGGAGGTGTTAAAAAAATTGAAAAGCTGACATGAGAAGGATAATTTTTAGCTTCATATCATTCACTGCCGACTGTTCATTTCTTTTCAGTTTTCCTCTTTTCGGGGGCCTCTAAATAACAACCAAGTTTCCCCTCTTGGAACGCTTCAGCAACAGTGAAAACCTCTGTTTCTTTTCTCGCTTTATGCTAACTCCCAATATAAGCCAAAATAATATGTGTTATGGACTCAATCGCTTGTAAAATGTCCTGACGGATACAAAGTGATTAGATTGACAACAGTACATAATGAGAGTGAAACCCAGAG